TCCATTAGGGTACCCTATAATTTTTTTTCCAATGATCTAAACCATCTATTTTTTAGGTCTTCATTCATAGATCATCCTTACAAAAAATTAGACAAATCGGAAACTGTTTTGACATCCAATTGTGTCCTACAAAATCAATGAACAAGGTGCTTTAAGAAAGTATTAAAATTTCAATAACTCAATTGAATGGTCAAATGATATCGGATTCAAGTGATTTTTTGTAGAGATGATCTTTGAATGAGTATCTACAAAATAGACCGTTAAATACTTCATAAAAATATCAATTCCCACCATTAAATAAATAATATATCCAAATATACCATTAACATTATGCATAAATTTTCCCATCATAAAACTATGCATATTATTTAAAAACAAAGTCCACTCACAAGTAGTCCCAGGCTGCTTGACCTTGAGAGAGTCCCGCCTACTGTGTATGCGTGGTCGGAGTACCTATTTCAAAATACGAACACACGATTAACATCAAGCGCTTCGAAACATAATTTTGAATTAAAAACCTAGTTTCCCGGGTTTCTAGTGAGTGTACCCGGAATGAGACGTTCTAAGGTCCAACTACCCAAATCGGACAATGGAAAAGCCTCGGGAGACACTCAGTCAACTGGGAGGTCAAACTTCCCAAATCGGGTCAACCGGGCCCACTGGACCCACGACCTCAGTTTTGACATAAGGATCTAATTAGGACATTTAGCAGCTCCACCAACCTTGCCCACGCGCCGATAGCGCGTAGTTAGCTTGATCAATTTTCAGCGGCCGGAAAAACTCCAAACCGCCGGCCCAGACTGCTGTCCTAGGTAAAAACACTATATTTGGAGTCACTTTTGTTCTTGAGCCTAACCCAAAAAGTGCCCCGAAGTGGCCGGAATTTCGAATTGAAAATCGGCCAAAAACCTAGGTTTTCAAATCGGATTTTATGCTAGGAATTGATCCAATTCTATGCAACAGTCAGCTAGAACTCAGAAAATGAATGAGAATCCATACCTCAACTGTTAGAAATGGTGGAGAAATGAGAGAGAACGAGCGGTTTGAATTGTTGGAAAAACTGGGGCGATTTCTGCAGATTCCGGCCACTGGAGTGGCTGACAACGGCGAAAACTCGCCGGAGTTTGACAGCGGGGCAAGGTCGGTCAGTTTGGTACCGGTACCGTGGGTTGCGGTGGTCGGAAGCAGTGGCTGCGTGGAGGAGGAGCCGACGGCTGAAAAAATTTCGAAAGGAGAGGGGCTATTTCGCGGGAGAGAGAGAGAGAGAGAGAGAGAGAGAGAGTATGTGTGTGTGTGTGTGTTTTCAGATTTATTAAAAACCAACTTCGAGAAAATTACGATTATGCCATTGAACTTGTTTTGAACGTAACTTTTTCGTTACAACTCCGAATCGAGCCCACTACGTGTTTGTGGACTCATCTCAGTATGAACTACCCAACAACACCATTCACTGTCCCAAACTCTCTCCGGATAAGAAAATGACTAGAATACCCTTACCCAAGGGTAAATTCGTAAAATTCAAAATTAATAGAATTAAATACTTCTAATAAGGAAATTAATTTGGAGTCGGGGTGTTACATACATAAAGTCACTTTTGGTCCATGTAGTTTACCAATTTTATTGTTAAGCTCCGTAAAATTTCAATAATTTTTCAACTCCAACGAATTCAAAGACAATCTTCAATTCGTGTAAAATTATTCTCATGTGAAGGGGCATTTTGGTCCAATCTTACAGCCCCTCCCTTACCACCCCACTGCCACCCAACAACCCCTCCTCAACCACCTTCTCCCAACCTTCCTTCCCCTCCCGACCCAACTTCCTCCTACTAACTCAGTCGACTCTGCATTCTATACCTAATTTCATGCATTGCCTTAAATTTCTCTTCATGAACCCAACGTAAGACACTTTGAGACTTGAAAGTACACTGACCTTGATGATAAAAGTGGTAAATTATTGAAAAATAAAAAGGCTTTTTGCCCAAAATTAATTCCTCTAAAGGCACCAACAATAAATACTATACTTGCCCAACTTGGGATATGGGCAATTCTTGTATTGGGAATTTGGGAAAAGGAATTTTTTTTTTTTTTTTTTTTTTTTTTGGGGTCAAGAATTTGGGAAAGCTTTGCTGTGGCTTCGCCAGCCTTTTCTTTTTGTTCTTTCGTTTTTTAAAATTTTGCTTTTAATGGGGGCCTGGGTGTCCAAACGAGATTCCTCTTTGTATTTTTTATTATTTGGGTATGATGGGGCCCAAAGGCCCAAAGAGAGGAAAAATATGTGGGTCAGCAGGGTAAGCCCAGAATCTCGGTCTTTATAAGCGCCGCTTAAAACAGCAGCCCAGTTGAGAATTAAGCCCTCCATTTTCTTCCTCCCGAGTGAGTTCCGATCCAACAGCAAAAACCGCCATATATAGATACTTGTATACACTCAACACAAACCCTACAAAAACCCTGAACCCTCTCTCTCTCTCTCTCTCTCTCTCTCTCTCTCCATCTACCGCTTCCTACGGGAAAGATTGTTTTGGTTTTCAATGTTAAGATTTTCTTGGTCTTCAAGACACCATTTCTCCCATTAAACCTCTCTAAAACCCTCACATTTTTCCAAATTCACCCATAAGTTAACAACAAGCCCCTCTTCCTTCCTTTTCCCTCTACACACCCACCCACCAAAAAACAAAAAAAAACCCAAGGGTTTCAGTCTCAGACTTCAGAGGGTTTTGTTAGAAACCCGTAAAGGAATTAGAGAGGAAAAAATGGCGAAGACATATGCATTAGGACTTATCACAGCAGTAGCTGCCTCAGCCTCCTTATCAAAGAACAATTGTGCTTACGCTGATGGCCCTTTCAGCTTCTCACCCTTCTCTACTCCTTCTTCCAATGCTTCCCAACCCTCTTCTTCTTCTTCTAAGCAATCTGCGCCGTCAAATCCACCCTCCTCGTCGTCGACTGGGGATGCTGCTGAGCCTCCTCCTCCTCCGAAGGTTCGCAATGATCATCCGAGGACAACTTCGGCTGGGTTCGATCCGGAGCCGCTGGAGCGGGGTGTTCAGGCCTTGGAAAAAATCAGCCAATCTTCTAGTGCCAAACAGGTTAGAAATTTAGGGGGTTTCTGCGTCGTCTTCAAATGGGTTATGCTCGCTTGATTATTATTATTGTTAATCTTTTCTTTTAAACGGGGCCGCGAGATTTGCCTTTCTTGTGAAGTTACTAAGAATTATTTTTTGCCAATAGTTCTTATTTTTCATCGGGATTTTGGGATTTGTGTTATGCTTTTACTTGATACCCGTGGGAATTTTATATTTATTTATAGCGAACATATCGGCGCCTAGTTCATAACTAAATTCGAAAGTGTACTATTTTTTTCATCTTATACTTGATCCGTATTTGAGCTTAAAGAAGTAAAAGGATGTGTTAAATTTTTCATCAGGCAGCCTTTTTGTTTTAATGACTTCCCGTGAATTTGTTTAATGGTTGCTCTTTTGCAAATGTATAGGTACTTGAAGCTATAAAGAAGCAAGAAGAGACAAGGCAGGTTGAGTTGAATGCAAAGGCTGCAGAGTATAATGCACTGAAGGCCCAATTTGAAACGGTAAGAGGTTCTACTTATTTCCCCATTAGGATGCTTTTCGATTAGTGACTCTCCTTTAGGTCCGTAAATTACCCTATGTGATTTATCTGGCACCAGTTTTTTCTGAAGTCATCTACTTCATTACCTGACAGGAGAGACAAAGGGTCATCTATGACGAGCAGAAAAAGCTAGCTCAGCATCAAGCGCAAACAAAATCCCAAATGGCTCGCTATGAGGATGAATTGGCAAGGAAGAGGATGCAGGCATGTAGCCTTGAGCTTTTTGGTATTTCACACAGAAGTTTGAAAGAAAAAACAATCAATTCTTAATATAATTCCTTGATGGTATTGCAGGCTGAAAATGAATACCACAGATCAAGGAACCAAGAGCTTGTAAAACTGCAAGAAGAATCATCGATTAGGCAGGAGCAAGCTCGGCGTGCGACAGAAGAACAGATCCAAGCACAGCGTCGACAGACAGAGAGGGAGAAGGCTGAGATAGAGCGTGAAACAATCAGAGTGAGGGCTATTGCAGAAGCAGAAGGGCGAGCCCATGAAGCAAAACTAGCCGAAGATGTTAACAGGAGAATATTGATAGACCGTGCAAATGCTGAGAGAGAGAAATGGGTTTCTGCAATAAATACCACATTTGATCATATTGGAGGTGCTTTGTCTTGTTTTGCTATTCTGTAGTCTATACTGCCTTATAATGAATAGAAAGATAAACAAACATGTCTTGTAACTTTATCTCAAGTGGAATTCTTTGTGGTTTTCCTTTCTTTTTGTCCTTGAATCTACATGAATTGAAATTCGAGCCATACGTAATTGGAATATGACCTCATCTTAATTTGCATTTTCGTTGATTCTTCTTCCAATTAAAAAAGGCAGTTTTCTGTCTGCCATCATATTCTCATTAGAAGTTAGGACTACTGCATTTCTAAAGTAATTTTATTTCTTAACAAATGTTGATGCAGAATTAGCTATTTTTTGCAGGTGGCTTGAAAGCCATTCTGACAGATCAGAATAAACTAGTTGTTGCTGTTGGGGGAGTGACAGCTCTAGCCGCAGGAGTTTACACAACAAGGTCCGTGTTGACATTTACTTGAATATTCTGCATTTTTCCTCTCCTATGTGTGGGCTTTCTTTTGAAAGCTAGGAATCTATTTGTTGCTTTCTATAGTCTTGGTTCATCTTCTCTAATTTATTTAGTAGTTTTTGTTTGTTTTCCCTGTGGAGAAAGAAAAAGGACTGCCGTAGTAAATGCCTAGAACTGTTAAGTTCTAGTATTTAGTTTGTTTTTATGGTCTCATATTTGGTTCACAGAGTAAGACTTGCATTCAAAGTCATAGCAGGTTGTGGGCTACCTTTGTGAAATAACTTGTATTGGACTATTCATTACCTTGCCATTTGCTCTCCACAATGCCATAGCTTATTCTGGTCTCATTTTTACAATGCAGAGAAGGTGCAAAGGTGATATGGAGCTACGTGGACAGAATATTGGGACAACCATCACTGATCAGAGAGTCCTCTAAAGGGAAGTACCCTTGGTCAGGATTATTCTCACGTTCTATTGGCACCCTGTCTCGTGGTGGCAACAAGGGTCATACAAAAGATGGGAAGGCTTTTGGTGATGTTATTTTACACCCTTCTCTTCAGAGAAGGATAGAACACTTGGCTAATGCAACCACAAATACAAAATCTCATCAGGCGCCATTCAGAAACATGCTCTTCTATGGTCCTCCAGGAACAGGGAAGACAATGGCCGCTAGAGAGATGGCTCGTAAATCAGTATGAGGCATTTTCTTATTATACTCAGATGATATTTGATCTGGTAGTTTTTGCTTTATTGTCATCCTTCAGCCTTCACATAATCTGCATTCTCATTTTTTCCCATGTTTGATTCCTAATGCCTTTAGGGATTGGATTATGCATTGATGACGGGAGGGGATGTTGCCCCACTTGGACCACAGGCTGTTACCAAGATACACGAGTTATTTGATTGGGCGAAAAAGTCACGGCAGGGTCTGTTGCTTTTCATCGATGAAGCTGATGCATTCTTGTGCGAGTAAGTCATACAATTAACAGGCATGAAAATGATGTAATTTAGTTGTAGTGTAGAAGAGAACTTCTTTCACTCTCTGTATGATTCATTGAAAACTCAGCTGAGAGATGTTGAATGTGTCAAATAAATTTGCAGGAGAAACAAAACCTATATGAGTGAAGCTCAAAGAAGTGCACTCAATGCTCTCCTATTCCGGACTGGTGACCAGTCCAAGGACATAGTCCTTGCCCTTGCCACGAACCGTCCCGGGGATCTTGATTCAGCTGTGGCAGATCGTATTGATGAAGTGCTTGAATTCCCTTTGCCTGGGGAAGAGGAGCGCTTTAAGCTGCTAAAGTTGTATCTGGACAAGTACATTGCTCAGTCTGAAACAAGAAAACCTGGTTGGTTCCGTAATTTGTTCAAGAGACAACCGCAGAAGATAGAGATGAAGGGGTTGACTGATGATATGCTCAAAGAAGCAGCAGCAAAGACTGACGGATTTTCTGGGAGAGAAATAGCAAAACTGATGGCAAGTGTCCAAGCTGCGGTTTATGGGAGTGAGAATTGTGTGCTTGATCCAAGCCTATTTCGTGAAGTTGTAGACTACAAGGTCGCTGAGCATCAACAGAGAAGGAAACTGGCAGCCGGAGATAAAGGTAGCGTGTAGTGTAATGGGTGTCCAATAAGTTATATCATTAATCGTCGGGCAGTTTTCTCTGTTTAAGTAGTAAAGTGGTGGCTTAGAGAAAGGCTGATGTTCACTTTTTACCTGGAGAGAGAGAGAGAGAGAGAGAGAGAGAGAGAGATAAAGATGTTGGGCATGACCACATAACATATGATGTTATTCATTATTTGCCCCCTATCATTGGAGGGTTTTTGGTATTTCCTTTTCTTTATATAAATTTAATGCTGATGGTGATTGACAAGTATTCATTTCGTACTTCATAGGCGTATTCCATAGATTTGCTTATTGTTCTGTCCTCAGAATATTCAATGCTGAACTGATGACAGTTATTCTAATTACTAAAGTTTTATTCAGAATAATTTCCATAAGATTAAAATGAAAAAAAGTAGTAACAATGTGAAATGGGAAAATATGCCAGCAGAGCACAGAAAACTAGCTAGAAGAGAGAGACGAGTTGGCCAGTGGCCGGACGTAACCATGCCCTTCATCCATCCTACACGGATGCTGGGGTTCTTGGTGCTGGGAAATAGAGTTGCCATATACTTTTACAGTTGACAAAATTAGAAGGGGGCTCTCATCAACATCCAAATGCAATTAAACACTAATATGAAGACTCAAGAAAGCATCTTTACAAGAGCCACACAACTCATCACAACATGTAAATCTGACAACAATAATGATGGCGCCAAAATGGGGTGCATATATGCATTCGTGCCTAAAGATCACATGACTAGCATGCCAAATCCTTATTTTACTAAATTTGGAAACACACGAGTATTCTTTTGATAAACAAACAGATAAGTAGTATTGTCATTACAAATTCAACTTGCTAATGAAATGGCTTCATTGAAGGTATGATAATAGGGATGAAACTTGCCCATGCATTATCACTTCCAGATTTCTAGTGGTGGTGATGATCTTGAACATAGCGAAGACCACAATACTTGCAGATAGCTGGCTCATCCAGGTCTAGGCATATGAACTCAATTGGGTGCCCAAGTGCAGGATCAATGTCTGCAACCAATAACAGTTTTACCCAAGTAAATTTTACTTCTAAAGAAAGTTTATTGAGTTGATCTTGCAGTATATAATCCATAAGTAGCTTTGCTCTGGATAAATGTAAAAGACATGAGGAAAAGCATCATAAAACCTAACCTCCTTCACATGCAACGATCCTGCCCTCAACCTTGATGGGTGGAACTTCATTGATCAACTCCATGGGAGATTTCTTGCTTGTATCCTATTAATAAGAATAATAATAATAGTAATAAAAGATCATTGACTTATATTCTAATCAATACATGACATGATAACCAACTGGGTTTCTAACGTTGGAAATAGACACCAAGAAAGAGTAAGACATTTAATGTGCATAGGAAAACACTGAGGCAAAAGCTTGTGGAAAGGGCACACAAGCAAACATTAGATTCTCTAACATAGAACATGGTCATTGCTCTAAAAGGAAGCTGACAATACGAATACCATTGAATTGCTCTGAAACTAAGCTGACAACATGAATACCATTGAAAAGCGAAATAAGGTCTTCTTCGAGTACAAAATGCTGAGAACTTAATCAATGTTTTCATTGAAATGCAGGAAGGATATACACACTGTTACAGTCGTTCCCACAGTGTCGTATAGTTGGCATATGCACCTGGGAATCTGTGTTCAATCACTGCTAAATTCATACGCTGGCTCCCCACCTTATTGCAATGATAGTAAACAAGGTCATGGGAATAATAGGGACTGGACGCTCTATACGCACCAGCATTCAGTTTTTGCTTTAAAGCTTTTCGGTATTGGTAGAGGAAACTAGACATATCTATTATAGTGTCCAAGGGTTAGTTCAGCAATCTTATTCTATGGTACAAAGGAAAAGGATAGCAGAAATTCAGATTAAACGCCATCTTAAGCATTTGAGAAAAAGTGCAACCATTCTATGCAAGGAAAACATTTATTTGCACAGAGTTTTGAATTAAGAACACACAAAAACTACACAATACTGAACAAAATCAGTATCTTTATTATCTATTGACACATCCTCGCCGATAAGCTATGATGTTAATTTTTATTTTTAATTTTTTTTAATTTTTTATCAAACACAATTCTTTCTTCCTTTCTTTACTGAAAGATTAGATTTGAAAAGAGAAAAATAGATTCCCACTGCAGATGAATGGAAATTATCGTAATAATCAAGAGAATAATGAGTAAGATCATGTTAATGTCAATCAATTAGGTAAACTTAGAAGGGAACCTGCATCCATTTGGCGGTGTGGTTGCTGATTTGACTCCTGACGAGGCTGAAATTTCTGGTCCCCGCTGATCCCAATTTGGACGATCTGATTAGGGTTCTAAATAGACTGGACGCCATTGCTGAGTGCTGATTGCTCACCCTCACGCTGAGAGAGCCGAGACAACGGTAGAGAAGGAGCTACAGGTGAAGAAATCAGTTTGATTTGAAGGCCCATATAATCAAAAGACATTAGCCCATATTATATATATGGGCCTTGACTTCGAAACAACTACATAAGGTGAATGTCGTTTATTAAGTGCGTCATGTCGCACTCTCGGTTTCTCATTTCTCATCGTAGCGTAGACGGTTGATTTGATTTGATGCCTGCAATTTCCAACCCAACAAGGCAATCAGATTCACACACACATGACCTCATTACAACGCTTCATGATTCGGCGTTGCAGAATTCAAGGACCCAACAACACCGCCATTTCATTTGCAGACCATCTTCTCACCCGAAGCTTCTTCACTACAAGTACTGTAAATTTGGATGCCCAACCCAATCTCCAAGCTTCAACAACTAGCCAAGACGACCCAGCAAAAATAATTGCAACCCAGTTGTCAAATTGCACTACCTTACAAGAATTGAATCAAATTTATGCCCATGTTATCAGAACCCACTTGTTACAGCTTTACACAGCCCCATTTCACTGGAACAACATCATAAGGTCGTACACTCGACGAGATGCTCCAACCAAGGCAATCTTTGTTTACCTTGCTATGTCTCGTTCTGGTGTTTTGCCTGATTGTTACACCCTCCCCATTATTTTGAAAGCCCTCTGTCAACTTTTTGCTGTAGAGATTGGTAGGCAGCTTCATTCCGTCGCTCTAAGGCTGGGCCTTGACTCCAATGAGTACTGTGAGAGCGGGTTTATAAACTTATACTCAAAGGCGGGAGAATTTGAAAATGCACGCAATATGTTTGAGCAAAACCCCGAGAGAAAGTTGGGTTCTTGGAATGCCATCATTGGAGGCCTCTCACAAGGTGGGCGTGCAAAGGAGGCGATAGACACGTTCATGGAGCTCAGGAAATGTGGGTTCTTGCCGGACGATGTGACCATGGTTAGTATCACATCAGCTTGCGGTAGTTTAAGTGACTTAGGCTTGGCTCTTCAATTGCATAAATGTGTTTACCAAGCTAAAAACGTGGATAAATCGGATACCTTGATGTTAAATTCGATTATAGACATGTATGGGAAATGTGGGAGAATGGACTTGGCTTATAGGGTGTTTTCAAGGATGGAGCAACAAAACGTATCGTCGTGGACATCTATGATCGTGGGTTATGCAATGCATGGGCATGTGAACGAAGCACTTGAATGCTTTCGGTGCATGAGAGAGGCAGGAGTGAGACCAAATCATGTGACCTTCGTTGGGGTACTCAGTGCATGTGTTCATGGTGGGACTGTGCAAGAGGGGAAATTTTACTTCGACATGATGAAGAATACATACGAGATAATGCCCCACTTGCAGCATTATGGATGCATGGTGGATCTTCTTGGCAGAGCGGGATTGCTCGAGGAGGCGAGAAAAATGGTTGAGGAGATGCCAATGAAGGCAAACTCGGTAGTCTGGGGCTGCCTGATGGGTGCCTGTGAGAAACATGGGAACGTTAAGATGGGGGAGTGGGTGGCTAAGCATTTGCAAGAATTAGAACCTTGGAATGATGGGGCTTATGTTGTTTTGTCTAATATATATGCCAGTAGAGGTTTATGGAAAGAGGTTGAGCAGGTACGATTGAGTATGTATCAGAGAAAACTCGCTAAGGCTCCTGGTTATAGCTTGTCAACAAGTGCAGATTGACATTCGTGTATCATAAATGTGCCTGGCATTTTCCAAGAATGAGCTGATATAAATGCAATTCTTTTTACACATCTGCACAACGTTCCCGTGAAGGAGCAATTTTTTTTTATTTCCCAGAACCGGAGTTGTTCATCAGTTATTCAAATTTTGTGCAAGGTGCAAAGAGTAACAGATGCACACCTTTCCAAATGTAGAAAGAACACAAGTTTTAATGTTTAAGTAGAGCTTAATAAACTTGAATTAATTTAATGATCCCAGATGTATGCAATAGTACAGAAATTCCTGTGACGGCAAAGTGGGGAAAATTTTCTCATGAAAGAAAACCATCTACAACTTCCTATAATCATGTACAACAAAATTATTGTTTATTCAACATCCAAAGAAAAGAATGCTGTACATGTTCCCTAATTGACTGCTACAATATCTTGAATAATTATGGTTTGTCAAGATCACCACAAGGTGATATGTCCTAATGAACATGAACTTTTGTACAATCTACAAAATGAAGCTGTAATGTTAGTGCAAAAGAACTAACAAGGTTGTAATCTATTCTTCAGAGTCTTGACCATTTCCTGAAATCAGTTACCTCCATATAGTAAGGATACCAAGTAATGTTGCTGAACTAATGTTAGACTTCCATATCCATTGACCATGATTAAAGCCAGCAGAAACAGTCTCCATGTGTCAGACTATGACCCGCCGAGCCTCTAACCATTGAGCATAAGCATTTCATGTTCGACAGTTTTCTCCAGTCACTAACTTCAAGTCTAAAATCAACTGATGAGCTTTTTCCCACTCAATCAACGGAAGACTGCAACAAGTCTTGACCCACCATCCTGTTATGCCAGTATGCAACCTCGTAATGTTTGTTGATCACTGGTCTTGAAGATATGTATTCAGCATCCCTCACAAATTCAATTAATGGTACACCCAAGATATGTTTGTCACTGGCAATACAATTCCTAGGGATCACCCTATCCCTCTCTGTCATCAGTATTCAGTACATAACATCCCATAACTAAATCGATTCTGAAATGGGGCTTTTAGCTTTTAGCTTGGATCCAACTTCTAGGTTCTCCAGAAATGATATACCCAAATTACTCATGGAATGCAAAACGTTTTCAGCTTCTAGTCCCCTTCCCCCAAATTTATAAAAATGCACAGCTGCGCTCAAAATAAACCTGTCTGCCTCTACAGACTCACTTATCTGTTCAAAAAACTTGATGCCTTCTTCCACAAGTCCATAGTCCATGTAACCTCTCAGCATAGTCTGATAACATGCCACGTCAGGATTTAAACCAGCTCCAAGTAGTTTCTCATAAATTCTTTCTGCTTCCCCTATCAATCCCATTTTGGAAAAAGCAGAGAGTAAAAGGTTAAAATGAGCACAGGAACGATAGACACCATTTTCCGTCATAGAATTAATGGTTTCCTCTGCTTCTGTGTATTTCAGACTCTCTGTGTACGCTCGAACTAGGGATAGGTAGGTGAAGGAGTCAGGTGAGCAACCATCTTGCTGCATGGCTTTGAATAATTCCTCTGCTTCTTTATAAAGCCCCCCAGCAGCATATACATTGATCATTATATTATAACTGACCTGATTTTCACATAAAAGACAATGGATTACACTTATATACACACTTCCGAAGCACATACCATATAATGGTGAAAATCAATTCATAAGAAATGTAATCTTTTTCAACCACCAGGTTGCTTGGGATAAGCCATACTGTTGCACCAAGGTGTATCCTCACGATTTTTTTATTGAGTAATTTGTCAAAATAACTCTTTATTTATCTCTTTTAAGTTTTAACATAACCTCACTTTTGCATACCATCCCAGGTTTTATCCCTTGTTCCCTCATTTTGGTAAATAGCAGAGATGCTTCCTGCCTTTTTCCTACAAAACAGACGCATTGAAGTTAGGGAGATTTACAAATTACAAGCAACAAAGAAATCCGATAGCTGAAGATGTTACAAGATATCCACTAGAAAGTAAAGAACTTACCTTCCATATATAGTTATAAATGCAAATTAAATACATTAACTGCTGAATAGAGCATTTAATGTTATATAACATTCCATTAGCACCAATGAATTGTATAAACTGTCAAGAGTGGCCAAATATAAGATACAGAAATGTTTCATAAATTCATGGATGTTCTTTGTCACCATGAACTAAGCCAACATAGCAAAACTGTGGGACATCATTCAAAAATTGTGTGACAATATTTAGATTTGTTTTTTCACTAAATGGAGGGGGATTTAGAACAATACCAGCTTTCCCACAGTAGCTAATGAGATTCATATATGCCTTCTCATCCAGAGACAAACCCAAGCTGCAAGCAGTATTGAACATCTCTACAGCCCTTTCCAGCTTTCGACCTCGACCGTAAACACTGCACCCATAGTTCGTCAATATGAACAGCATTCAATATATATTTTTCACTTATTTCACAAGCAGAGAGAAGTATACCAAGCTCTTACCTGATCATGGTGCTGTATGTCTGAATCGATGGAATAACCCCCTCAGAAAGCATGCACTCATAGATACTGGATGCAAAACGCAATCTACCTGCAGCATGAAATGTACCAAGTTATTGCAAGCTTTCTTCTACTCATGTGTATTCACTAATAATTGGAGTGGCCCATATGAACCTGCTTCCAGCATAGCCTTAATGAAAGTATTGTATGCCACGGTATCTAGCTCCACGTGGTGTTCCAGGCTTTTGCGGATGACATTCTCTGCTTCTCTATGTTCTCCTGGAGATGAATTCTTATTAATTAACATTGGTGCAAGGAAAGTTACGTGACAAACTTAAAGAAACGATTGGTATGGTGGCTTTGTGAGTGCAGCTGAGATGTGGTGTCTTATTGCATTCTGAATAGCACAGAATTATTTGGGACGTTGAAAAGCTTGGTGAAGTATGATATTTTTATAAGACGGTGAAAATGAAAATTGGTGGCTCTATTATCTGATAATCTATAATCTTTGCTAGTCTAATTAAGGTTTCCAAACTGATACCACTGTTAGTCAAAACATTGACAACTATGCTGATGGCAACAGCATCCAGATCATGCCCTTCCTCTGAAAGTTGTTTGTAAAGTGAGTATGCCTCCTGTGGTTTACCACATTTGGCATATGCATCAAGCATTGAGTTGCATAGTAACTTTTTAGCCAAAGGAGAATCTGCGAATGCTGTAAATATTTCCAGGGCCTTTTTCAGGTTGTGTTTCTTTCCATATAAACTAATCAAAGAACCAACTGTGGCATCATCCACTCTGCAGCCAAGCTTGGCCAATTGATTGATATGAGTTTCTGCTTTAAATGCATCACCTGCAAGAAAATCAATGTCAAAACTGTTCCATTTCTTCAGAGGCATGGTTTAAGAATATCAAGCAAAAATTTACTCAGAGGTGAGTTGCATAAATAAGTATAATGTTTTACTGAAAAAATCGATAGCATGTGCGTTGCTTGCCTTCTCTAATAAAGTTCTTAATGAGCTGACTCGCAATTGATAAGCCACTAGAAGCCTCAAGTAATGATGCTAGAACTTTTTCTGTCTCACTGATATTGCCATCTGCCAGATAGAGACTGAGCACCAGTCCAAGGGCCACAGTGTCATGCTGGTCAAAGGTCAAAAATTTCCCTTCCTTATGTTCATACATAGCCCAAGAAATTGTCTGGATGAATCTACTATCCTGGTATAATCCATTTGTACCCAGCTCTTCTACAAACTTTTCAGCATCTCTAAGCATTCCCTCCTTGCAATATACTCTCATAACTGTCCTGCAAAGTTCCTCGTCCAAATCTACCCGGTCTCTTCTTATCTGGGCAATAAAATCCTTAGCCTTTTCGATTAAGTCCAGTCTTATATACAAATTGAGCATATCATTACAAGAGCCTGCATCAGGGAGTCCAGTCTTGGATAGAGCCTGAAATGTTACTTCAGCAGAACTCAGATCTTCCTTCATAACATAACACTGCAATAAGACAATATAAGCAAATCTTGAGAGCCAAATGTTTTTTCTAGACTTCATTAGTTCAATAACTTCTAAAGCTTTCTCGCAATTCCCTGAATTAAGATGGACTTGTGTCATTGCTAAATATGTTTTCTGATCACTAAGTAGACCCAGCTGCTCCATCTCGGTAAATGCTGTCTGAGCGTCCTCATAAAGACCAAGTTTTCCATATATTCTAATGAGCAAACCATAGATGACCTCATCAGCTGCAATTTTCTTGCTTTCCATTTCTGAAAAAAGAGAAAGGGCTTTGGAATAATCCTCCGTCTTGTAATACAATGTCAGAAGTGAAGCACAGGTGTAGTTGCTCGGGACTATTCCTAGAGACCTCATGTCTTCATATAGTCTTAGTGCTTCGTTATATTTGCCACTTTTGGTGCTTAAACTGATGAGCAAACTATAAGTTGCCTCCTCAGGAACAAATCCAGCATTCTTCAACTCAATGAAATTCTTGAGAGCCTCGTCATGGAGGCCTTCTTTGACGAGTGAGCAAATTACTACTGTATAAGTAAATTTATTAGGTACCACTCCTATGTCCACCATCTGCTTCCAAATTTCTATGACCTTTCCGTGGAGTGATTTCTTCTGCAAGGAGGACAACATGAAATTATAAACAGCAACAGAAAGCAGAATCTCCCTTTCCTGCACAGCTGAATAAAACGCCAGCATAGCCTTGTGACGTCCCCATCTGGCATATGTACAGAGCATGGTGCCACAAGCAACTTCATCAGGTTCACATCCAGATTCAAGCATCTCCAAGAAGGTTTGCTCAGCCAGCTTGATCTTCCCAACTTGGCCATATACACGCAAAACGATTGTGTAGACAATAACACTTGGGCGGTAGCTTAACTGTTAAAACATAAGGTCGTCTATCAATCATCACACATAGTATACACAGTAGTGTATTAATCCCACATACTCTAACTATACTTAGAAGTAAGGAAGAAGAAAAGCAAAGCAACACGAAAATTCAGAGTATGTAGACTCTTTACCATGAAAAGCACATATTTTTTTTTATATATTTATTTCTCTATTGAAAATTCACAAAAATCCACATGAAGTTGAAAAATTGATAACAAAAAGAAATGAGTAACCGTAGTAGTAATTAAATTAAATTAAAATAGAATGAAATGAAATGAAATGAAAAAGAGAGACAGAGAGAGAAGAGAAAAGCAGGAAACCTGCAATTTCATCCAAGAAAATAAGTCCCTGACTTGCCTCCAGCCCTTTTGCTCCTTGAGCACCACACACATTTCTCTAAAGCTGAGCTTCCCAACAAAGGAGGCCATGACGATGCGCATGTCGTACTGTCCCTCGGCCTTCTCGGACAGCGCCCTGACGTGCTTGATGGCCGCCACCACGTGGCGACCGTAGAGGTGGCCGTTCCTGTCGTCCTGCAAGTAGCTGACCATCTGCTCGGGGGTCCTCTTAATCCATTTGGGGGTGTGGGCTTGTGGGCCCTGGTTCCTGCGGAGGGCGCTGAGGTAGTTGGCCTTGGCCTTGATGATGCGGCGGGCGTTGTCGTCGGAGAGGGGCTTTTTGGGGTTCTTGGACTTGGGTTTCGGGCGGTCCGGGTGGTTACCGTCGCTGAGAGACCAGGGGTCTGGCCTCACTGACGAGGAGGACGGCTTTACTATGATATTCATATTGACATTGGTGGTCGTTTTAGGTTTCGTTGAGGTGGAGGTCGAGGTTAAGGATTTTAAGGCGGTGGTATTGGATTGGGAACAGTGGGAAGAGAGCAGTGGATTAGTAGTGCACAGGAAGGACGAGGAGTACGTTAGTGACTCCATTTCCGCGGGAAAAGCAGCACAAGAACCAACCGCTGCGACTCCACTCTCTGACTAGAGAGAGAGAGTAGACGGAGAGGGGATAATATTAGTGTTGTTTAATTAATTAATTAAGATCAGCCCGTACTTAATCCGAAATCGTAATCGTAAGTTTAAATTCACCTCCCTTAATATCGCACGAATATGCATGTATTAAAATAAAAAAATATCAGTACAGTATTTGCGTCGTCTGTTTCTGTTGAACTTTCAAACTTCAGGGCAGACTTCTGACAGAGAGAGAAAGCGTCATGTCGTATGTTTATCATTCTAAAACTGTTTGTTTGTTTGTTCTTTTTTTAAGTTGAAGAATTAGTATGGCTGAAAAAAGAAAAACGAAAGCCAAATCGTTAGTCGTCATCTGGAAACCACCATATCATATGAGTATGGAGGGGGCTCTCAAAACAAAACCGGACAATAGTGACAGACAGAAAATAAGCAATAATTGGCATAAATGCAAGACGCCGTACAGAAGAAACTGTCGAATTGATTGTATGATTCTATTTGTAGTTGGACAATTCTCTTCACACTACATAATCCACTTTGATTTCTACTACAACGGAGGCCCCTAAAAACCGAAAAATCAAAAAAAGAATTGGGATGAAAATTACAATAGCACACATTGGACATGCACAGCAAAACATTTGTCATAGCCAACCTCCTCCCCCAAGTATCAAAGCAACCAACAAGACTCATGTGCTTATAACCTAAACTACATCCAACTTACGACAATATCTAACGACGGACGGTAAACATGAGGTGAGGGACCTATTAACTTCCGGCAAACTACTCTCCACAATATACAGACGCTAACATTATTGTCCATGGTGCTCATGCTTCACACGTGCTTTTAGTATTCCGGGAATAGGCGGCGAGGTGGGAGGCCTAACTGGTGTGTTTAACATCGAAGGAAGAGAGATCTGTGGCTGATACATGCTGGACATGCTACAACCTTCCCCTCCATCTGCAGTTAAATTTTGTGTCCCGTCATCAGCCTGTGGCCTTTCACAAAATTTCATTGCCTTCAAAACATAATTGTCATCATGGAGCTCAAATGGGGTGCTGCAAGCAAAATCAAAATATCAGAAAAAGATTGCAACCTTTTTTTATTTATTTTTACTTATTTTTATAGTTTTGGAGAAATTATGATCCAAAAATTGCTTATTGAGCTATCACACAGACAGAGTTGATCACATTAACAGCACTTCGGACTCAAGTATTATACTACTGGTGGCTACTATCTCCACTTGTGTCCCCAGCAGACAATGGTGTATAGATGTTACTACCAACTATCATTTCGCTCAACATAAGAATGAAAGTTACCTATTGAAGTCAAAATGCACCAGCTGCATATCTTCTGATATTTCCACCTCAACAGTTGCATGAGGGCGAGTCTATGGTATCCACATGTCAGGAATAACAGAAGTAACAAAGAATCAGATAACAATAAACTTGTCAAAAGGAATTCTGAAAGAAAACTAATCATGTAAAGCTGATCATATGCTTCTTGTTATATAGAAAAGGGTTGAAAAATGGCTGTTAGTTGTTATACAATGCGGTAGTAACTTATATCTTGTATCCAGCAGAAGGTCTACATGTCTCATATCACAAATCATACATAATTTATTTCTCGAGTCAAGCTGAAGAACAAATGTCCCCAGCACCAACCAAATCATACCAACCCTTCAAACACAAACCATTTTGTTTTCATTCATCGTAACTTTAAAGAATACTGTATTCTAATCTGTTTCTCAGAATGCGTAGATGCAAGGGAAACATTGAGAAGAAAAGTACCTGCACAAGAATGAAAGGTAAAGCCACACCCCCGCTGAGCGCATCTCCAGAGTGGTATAATTGCTCATTCCGTTGTATCAGGTTTTGAAGGCCTACGTACTGATAAAAGAGCAAAGAAGTTAGTGTGTGCAGACACTGATCATGAGCATGGCATCATGTTCAGACATGGTTTCCCTGAACTATACTAGATTATTAATAATTAATAATTATAGTCCTCAAATCAAGAACATGCAAAAACCTAAACTGTGCCAAAGTTATGAAGCATGGATTAATAGACAATAGCTATTCATACTTGTTCCTCCAGCTCTTGCAGATATGACGCTTTCTTTTCAATCCTATTCCTCAGTCCCAGGCGCTCAGTCTGCATTTAATACATGTATAACTAGTTGTATAAGCTCAAAACTGTTCCAGGAATCCACTTAAAATACAACACATAAAATATGAACTGTAATCAGACCTTCAGTTCTTCAATATCATTCAGGCTTGTACGAGGCAAACCCTTCCATTGTATTTCTTTTTTATCTTTGGATATAATATCCATTGCCATAAGAACATTCAGGGCATCATATACTCTTCGCCTGATGTTTTTCTCGTCATATTGTTGCTGCCAAATAAAATTCAACACAAAGAAAAAAGGATTTTATTAGCAAGTTCCATTCCAAGTTTTCCCAGAAGACTGCAGATATATCAACCTAGTTATCAAACCTGATCAGGGGATGTAACACCATTGCTAGGGTCAGCGAACTCTGCTACAAGTTCATCCGCAACCTGGAAAGTACTTTAAACTCTTAGGTTTACGACCATACTTAAAATTGATTGGTGGACCATGAAAAACGAAATATGATATACACTTCAACGAGAAAATAGTGATAAATGAGGGCCAAAAGAACAGCTGTTTACATGCAGATCTTGAGAACCGCTATTTTTTGATCTGTTACATTTAAACCACATCACAACACTCTTATAATGCTAACACACTGCCTAATGAGTCCCCTTCCTCCAACTTTATCACCATTATCCCGAAACAAGCATTTGATAAATTACTCCCACAAAAAAACAACATGGCTTTTAAATGATGTTGACACTTAAAAAGTGACCTCTGAGATTATACCATCCTCAGTAGCAATAAGGTCACGCATTTGAACCCAAGGACTTCACAAAAATTAGAACTTGGAAGAAGAACAATAAATACAAACAATAAAAGTGACTTCAAGAAACCACTAACCTCATTATAAGTGGTTCTTCCCTTGCTCTCCACTTTCTCACACACTGAGCACAAGCAACAAAGAATCAACATATAATCCGAGGAGCAAGTACAGGGGCATGAACAGAACAAATAACAGTGTCCATCCAAGAGAGCACAAGCCAAAATTCATTATATAGATTACAATGCCCACTTAAAACAATTCATAGGTTGCAAAAATAAACCACCTTTTTTGGAAGAAAAAATACAATGTAAATGGAAATAAGGTAAGATAAGACAGCGTTCAATACAAAACCTTTCATGCTAAATTGGCGTAGTCCTCTTCCACTCTTATCGCCTGCTACAGCCCGTTGGCCTCTCTTTTTCTTCTTGCTACTGTTTAAAGCAACAATCATTTAGGAAGATTAAAGAAATTAAAGAAGTGCTGTGAAAGAATAAGGGCCAAATTCTTGTCCGCTAGAATCAACCTCCATTGTCAAACAAAAGTTGTACAAAAATTATGTGCACCATTATGATTAAAAAGGTGCAGTTAAACCATAACTTAGCAGCATAAAGTATAGTACTTGTTAACTCAATCTATTGGTGATGAATAAGCCGAAATCAGAACGTTGAAACTAAACAATGTGGATGCATTACGTACACATAGATAAATGTTATGTAGATATGCATCAAACAGAGGGCTCAAATAAAACTATGAAATAAATACATAAATAAGAAAACAAATATACAACTCAAATAAAAGGCATGACAAACTTCGTGCCCTAAGGTCTGAATCAGAAAGCGAGAAGCAAAATCAGGAAAATAGGAAGGTAAAGAAAACAAGGGATGGGGATTAGGGAAGGGATGAGTGACTAACCCAACGGCGCCTTGGGAGCCAGCATCGTCGCCGTGAACGTCGGGATGGTTCAACCTGAGAAAATTGGTGTCGCCGGCGGGTGTGGCCATGGTCTGCTCACTGCGGCTGGAGGGCGAGCCCACGCTGCCGCTCATCGACACCGACTGACCCGCCATGTCGTCGTCGACGTCTGCTCGCTCTCGGCTCGGTTGCTGGGACCTTGTCCCCATCCTAATTCCTATCGCACCACAATCTGTAACAATCTGTCTTAACCTGTATTGTGTAGGGGACCAAATCAATCTTTTTGCTTCAAATTGATTCTTGGAGTTGATTGAATTCAGCTCAACTGAGAGTCTTTGCAGTTTTTGCCTGTTTCTCTTGATCCTTGTTCAAACCTCTTTACAAGTTCACAACAAGAAGAAGGAAGAAGAAAGTGAATTCTTCAATCAGTCCCAGTCCAAAGATACCCCTAAAGCTCGCCAAACCACATGCCCAACTAAACTCTACTACATGTAATTTTCTTTTTCTTTTTTCTTTTGCCTCCTTTTTTTATTTATTTATAACAATTATTCTCTATTAAAACTTAAAAAGAAAAAGTTCAATGCTAAATTTTTCTGTATTTTTAGTTTTTTACTCACTAATCAGTAAAATAATAACAACAAAATTTTAGTAGATAAGACGCTTTTCTTCCGAAATTAAAAAAAATGTAGAACCTAAGTGGGTTTGGTCTGGTAGAAATTGAACGGGCTATGTCACACATGTTAAGCGAATGTTATTGGTATCCTCAATGAGGTTCCGAGTTTGAACATCCGCATGTATAAAGAACCTCTTAAGGAGAGTTTTTCCTTAACCCATGCCCGGCTCGGAGAGGTGACACTCCTGCCACTTTTTTTGTAACCCAAAAAAAAGAAAAAGAATTAGAGTTAAAAATAAAAAAGAGTAACCGAATACATCTACGGTGCGATTCTTTCTCAACTCGATATACCTACCAACACTACAACGTGAACATCTTATTTCGAATAAACGTTTGCGGAGGCAGGTGATTAATTGTTAATTCCCGCGTGCCAAGTGCATTACGACATTAATTAACAAAGTAGCCTAGGTCGAGTTACGTTAGCCCAAAAAAAGGACCGTAGTTGAGTCCCGGCCGCCAAAACGACAGCGTAAAAAGGAGCTACTGAAACTCCTTATCTCGATGGCTGGGTCCACCTCGACCGGCGGGAGCGGCCCGTCGAATCCTCCCAAAATCCTACTAGCAAAGCCGGGACTGGTGACGGGGGCTCCGGTGGCGGGTAAATTCGGGCGCGCCGGTACTGGGGATGAGTATACGACGTCGCTTCGGTCCCGTCTCCCTTCTTCTATCGGATCCCTCAACCTCCTCTCTGATTCATGGGACTTCCACATAGACCGCTTCCTTCCGGTAACAATGAAACCAATTTCACATTCTCATAAAAAAAGTCGACTCTTTGTTCATTATATATTATTGGTATTTGTGAATTTACAGCGAGTTGTCACTGAAATTGCAGTTTTTGACTGAGAACACGGAGTTTACGGTGGTGGGGGTGATTGGTCCGCCTGGGGTGGGCAAGTCCACTATTATGAACGAGCTTTATGGCTTCGATGCGACCTCACCTGGTCACTCCTGACTCTCCTTCTATTTCCTAATGTCTTTGCTTTTGGTGCTCTGCTTTGTGTATGTTTTTCTCTTTCTCTGAAACTGCATTTTGATATTGATAAAAGAAATTGAATTGCAGGAATGTTACCCCCATTTGCTATAGAGACGGAAGAGGGTAAAGCCATGGCAAGGCATTGCAGTATGGGCATTGAACCCAGGGTTTCTGCTGAACGCCTTATACTTCTTGATACCCAGGTTCCTCCTTCTTTTATACCTAGCTTGTTCTAGTCTAGAATTCAATCTGAAATATCATATTTATGTAAATGAGTTACTGAGTATGATCAAGTCTCCTCTTTTCACTGCCAGCCTGTTTTTAGTCCTTCTGTTTTAGCTGAGATGATGAGACCGGATGGCTCGTCCACCGTTCCTGTTCTAACTACTGCTGAATCTTTATCTGCTGAGTTAGCTCATGAACTTATGGGTATTCAGGTAACTACAAACACAAAATAATAGAGATCTTATGTATTTATTTGTTATAGGATGGACGTTTAATCAACTTATCCTTTTATTTTCTGGGTGCTGCAAGCAATTCTTCTAGCTTGGTGTTCTTCTGACCTCAATCTGTCACATTTTGCTGGTTATATCAGAGGGAGTTCATGATCATAGTATGTGGCGTTTGATGTCCACGGTATTTTCTCTCATCTTCATTATGACTTGTTATATTTCAATCTGTTTTTTAATGCAATTATTTCCAAGCAAGTTGTTTCTGTTAGATCCACCTTTTATTTTTCTTCACTCACTTCCTAATTTTCATTTGAAACTTTCTGATACTCCAATATTTATTTATTTCATTGTAAAAAAATCCTTCATCCTGTATTAACTGAATGTAATCTGCATGCGGAAGCTTTGAAACCACGTTCCCTCAAAGTTCTAAGTTGTCTTGTTGGTTTCTTCAGTTTTTTCTCACTTTCAATTATCAGAAATTTCATAAAATCCTTGCATGACATGTTCTGAGCCCTAGGATTATGTTATCTGACTGCAGGTTGACCTTTTGAAACATGGCATACCTGATCCATCTTCACCAACCCTTTCCAATTCTCTGAGCTCTAATATAGGGCCTGAAAAAGATAGCAGAGATAAAGCTCATGAAGGTGGAGAATATATGGCTACACCAGTTTTTGTGCACACAAAGTGAGTAAACTTTAAATACTGTTCCTCTTTAATTAAAATGACAATGTAATAATACGAAATTGTGTTCTTACTTGTTAATAGACTACGGGACCATGATCTTAGTCCACATAATTTTGTGCAACTGAGGAAGGCACTTGCACAATATGTCAGCACCTCTTCTTTCATAAGACCAGAAAATGGAAATATGTCCAAAAGTCGTGATCCAGATTCTATGGCTCCTGGTACTCAAAGTCGCGATCCAGATTCTTTAGTGCCAAGTTTCTTTGTAATCCCAACAAAGAATAAATATGACTCCCCAGGAGATCAGTATGAAAGTTATACCTCTATGCTATGGAAATTGCGGGATAAGGTCTCTCTCTCTCTCTCTCCTCTCTGGAAATTTAGATGCATTCCATATAACACCAGCTGTAAGAATATTTCCTCTCTTTATTCAGGTTTTGTCCATGAATTCTCCTCCTTTTGGAAGAACTGTGAGTGAACGTGAATGGTTGAAGAATTCTGCCAAGATATGGGAATTGGTGAAGAACTCTCCTATCATTGCAGAATACAGCAGAACACTTCAAAGTTGTGGAATGTTTAGGAGATAGCTCCAATGGTTTATGCTTGCCTCTCTCAATTCTCAAGGACATACAATGTTGGTTTGGTCGATTAATTAGTCATAGGTTAGCATGCTTTTCTAACTTTTGTCATCTATCTCATTAAGCACTAGTGTCTGGTTTAGTCATTGTGAAGGAAATTGATACTAAGAATTATTTGATGCTTTTTTTTAATCGGCACAGATTCGATGATGATTTTAGTACTCCCGTTTTCCTTTTCTTGCTTGGTGGTTTGTGCTTTTTAATATTTATTCATGGTAAAGCAAGGCCAAAAATGAATATGGAAAAACAAGAATTGCATTGAAACAGAGGATTAAATTGCCCAAAAAAAAAAAGCATTCCAATTTGGTGAACATTAACTTTTAACGAGTAGAATTAACCCCTCAACTTAATCCATGGTTTCTTATTATCAACAAAAAGAAAATTGGGGGATGATAGGGCAAATGATTTTATACTTGAAATGAAAAGTGCAAAGCACCCAGATGGCAAATTTCCGTCTAAAACTCTGATTTCCAATTAATTATAAATAAATAAAAAACAGTACATGGGTACAGTGTTTCTCATCAGCTAGACAACAGAACAGGCTACTCTAGCATTGCATTTGCATCCAGTGAAGCTTCAGCAGTAGCAGCAGGCTTTGAAGAAGATTTTCCTTTGTTCCTACCTGTCCATTGACAAAAAGAAGTTAGAAATGAACTTGACATTTAAAGCCAACAACATATGATATGAACTAAACTAAGTGGTAAGGTAAGGTACCTTTGCGCTTTAGTTGTTTAAGCTTGAGGCCCTTCTTCATGGGAAACTTTGAACAAGTTTTCTTGGTGTCTGTAGATTCTTCTCCACCTACAAAACAAACAAACAAACTTACATCAGCTTCAAATTGAAATGCAGACAACCTCTGTTTGTTTATAACAGTGTTTAAATTTAAAAGAAACAAGTCACATAAATTATTGAAAAAAATCGGAGGTACCATCAGCAGCAGCCATTTCGACATCTTGCATAGTTATTAGGCCCTTTTGCACAGCCTCGTTCTGATCCTGAAATCAAATTATTAATCACACAATTCAACAAATATAAATATGGTAATTCAGACTGGTTTTGATAGAGCAAGCACGCACCAACACCAATACCAAATACAAGTTATAAAAACATAAAGAAAACAAACGTACTCTACGCCATTTTTTTAAGAGCTTGCGCTTGCGCTTGCCGGATATAGAGAGGGGCTGGGGCTTGTTCTTCAGCTTCCCAGTGGATGGGTCTCCGTGAACTGCTCTCTTCCTCTCTGCATTCTGCGCTCTCTTCCTCTTCTGCACCTCGTTGAACTTGGCCATCTCTTTTCTTCTCTTTTCTCTCCCCTTCCTTCCTACCTTTAAAACCCTAGCAATCCTCCTCCTCCTTTCCCAATTCCAATTTAAATTAAGCATTTTCTTCCTTGCCCGAGGTTCTGCGACGGCTCATCTGGATTGGCCCTACCCAGCCCAATATAAGAAAAGACAAAGCGAATTTCCGGAGCCGAAGGCCCATACAAGTTTGGGCCCAAGAATTATTGAACACCAACCATACCCACCACTTGAAAAATTACCGACTTTCCAATTTTAAATAAATAATTTTGTACTTTCTAAATACGACGAAGCGAATTTCCGTTTTATGTTTATGTTGTTTAATTTAAAACAAACGGTTAGTTGGTGAATGTTGTAAAGTTTGAGACAATTTGAGGTGGTATGTTATGTTACCAAATGTTGAAAAGCATTGCTTAGATTAGATGAATGCATGATCTCAAGATAACACAGCAGCTCATTATTCATAACAAAACCCACAATCTGATAAGAGTAGACCAGAATATGTCACTCAGGACAGTAAAAATTGAGTAAAATGGTAAATACACAACTGCAGCATGCCAGCAGCCATAAGAATGAAAATGTGGAAAAAATAAAATAAATTCCCCTATCATCTTCATCATATATGATACATTTTAAAGAATATTCGTTCATACATGTGACATCATATTTAGGTGAAATATATATATATATATATATATATAACAGACATGAATACTGGTATGTCAACTCTATATTAGGACTTAAGCTCATGAGGGACTAATAATTACAACACCAGAACAGTAGAACGATATATTCTGATTCGCTCTCCCTCCTCCATATCAGAAAATGGAGGGGAGGGGATGATATATGAACCAGATTTCTAGCTAAACCCGTCAATGGTAGGGAAGGGAATAGGAGGACAAAACCAACCCTAAAGGCACTTGGCCTCAATTTCCTCAAGTGTAAGCCCCTTTGTCTCTGGGACAATGAAGAAAATGAACACAAGGGATGCCACAGCTATTGCTCCAAATACATAAAACAAAATTCCAGCTCCCAGCAATACCTGTAAATAATCACAAATCAAATCATATTACAATCTCTCTCTGTATTAATCAAACAAATTATTGCCGCCATCGGTAGTACAGCATTCAACAAACAAACAGAAGAAATTGCAAACATGGATCAAAATCTTAAGCACCTTTAGCGGGGAAAATGCAAATGTCACCAGCGCATTTGCAGCAAAATTCACAAGCACTGCTATACTGAGTCCTCGCCCTCTTAATCGTAAGGGGAAAATTTCTGATATCATTAGCCAACCAATGGGACCAAACGATAACTGCAAATTTAATTTCATGGGTTACACATTTTTGTGGTCCAACACTAAAACCTATCCAGAATAAGAAAACAAAAACTTGTATACTACAAAAATACGAGCTTCTTACAGAAAAAAAGAAATGCAATTAGTTTATATATACACACACAGAGTATGGTATATGTGTGCGTATTCTCTAATAAAATTAGCATCATTATATAAACCGTAGATTATACTATTATACTATGATGCTACAATGTGGGTTTATGTCGAGAAAGAAGAGATTACCTGATAACACCCAACATACAACAGCAGTGCAACTACAGCGGCAACTGGGGCATTATCAAAGAAAAGGTAATATGATCCCAAAAGGAATAAAGAGATGACCTGTCACATGAACAAGACTGAATCCAATAGAATATATAGTCTCTTGAATTTGATAAACAAGTTGAATGTTGTCTCTGCAGATCTCAAGATAGTAACAGAAAAACAAAGAAACATAGAAACATCAACCCAAGAGGGGACTTACCATCCCCGAAACACCTCCAAGTAGTAGAGGTCTCCTCCCAAGTCTATCAACAACAAGAACAGCGGCTCCAGTCATTATCAACTACAACAAGAAAATAGCAAGTCAGACATATCTGTTTAGAAGGTCAATTTCTTCAATAGGAAATAGGCACACTTTTTCAACCGAAAAATAAGAAGAAAATAAAAGTATAGGGAAATAATGTGATCGATAATGAAGACATGCATCTAACTGGGGAAAAATGCTTCTTGATAACAATAATAATTGAAAAATAATAATAATTTAGAAAATATACCTTGAAAACACCAAGTAAAATTGAGACCCGTGTTGCATCAGATGCTTCAGAGAATCCTGCACTCTATTAAATTATATGGGTTAGGAAGAGAGATATTTTCCTACGAAACCCCTGTTAGTGATAACCTCTTCAATAATGCCCAATATCTAAGTTAGCAGGGTACCTGAAAAATCGATGCAGCATAATACAGCACACTTGGTTGCCCTGTAATCTGTCATAGTATAGATGCCATGTATAAGCCAAAGTTGGCAATTGATCACATCATATCATATTCATTAGCCAACTGAAACTACCTGTTGGAACAACACTAATCCTGCACCAATCACAAGGGCTTTTGCAGATTTTCCATGAAACATCTCGCCTAATGAAGCTTCTTTCTCTTCACCAACATAAGAAAGCTCAGCCAGCATCTCATCCACTTGTGCAGGAGCTGAATCACCAATAGATGTACCCCTAAGCCGGCAGAGGCAAGAGATTGCAGTCTCTTTTAACTCATGCATATTTCCTCTTCCCTGTATGGCACGCAGAAGGATCCATCTAGGTGATGCTGGTAGCCACCACATTCCAATTCCCATAATTACTGCCAAAGGGATAGCCGCTGCGTACATATAGCGCCAACCAGCAACTGTGTCAACTAAAAGGCTACCAATTCCGTACCCTCCCTGCAAAACATTGAGGGTGGTTACGATATATATATATATATATATATATATATATATCCACCAATTAAATAGATAGAAATTTCGAAGAATATGCTACAAAAAATGAAAAGAGGAGAAAGATTGCAAATCAGCTTTGAGTTGGCTTGGTTGCATGTCACAACAGTAAAAAAATTCAAATTCTCAGATGCCATGTTGAAGCACTTACAACCATCCCAAGTACTATAAAGAACTCTTTAAGAGATATCAGTCGACCTCGTATCTCACTTGGAGCTGTCTCAGCAATATACATTGGAGCAGCATGCATTGCCTAAAAGAAAACAGACTCAAAATTTATACATCTTATTTTCTTTTTTGAAAAAAAATGAGCCAAGTATTGTTTTGTGTTGAAAAAAGCACTGTATACTTACCAGTCCAATTCCTATACCAAATACAAAGCGCCCAATCACCATAACAGGCAAGTCAGGTGCTAATGCGGTTACTAGAGCTCCAAGAAGATACAATATAGCAGCCGAAATCAACTCCCTCCTTCTTCCTTTACAAAGATTCATCATTAAATAGATAGAAAATTAGAAGAATATGCTACAAAAAATGAAAAGAGGAGAAAGATTGCAAATCAGCTTTGAGTTGGCTTGGTTGCATGTCACAACAGTAAAAAAATTCAAATTCTCAGATGCCATGTTGAAGCACTTACAACCATCCCAAGTACTATAAAGAACTCTTTAAGAGATATCAGTCGACCTCGTATCTCACTTGGAGCTGTCTCAGCAATATACATTGGAGCAGCATGCATTGCCTAAAAGAAAACAGACTCAAAATTTATACATCTTATTTTCTTTTTTGAAAAAAAATGAGCCAAGTATTGTTTTGTGTTGAAAAAAGCACTGTATACTTACCAGTCCAATTCCTATACCAAATACAAAGCGCCCAATCACCATAACAGGCAAGTCAGGTGCTAATGCGGTTACTAGAGCTCCAAGAAGATACAATATAGCAGCCGAAATCAACTCCCTCCTTCTTCCTTTACAAAGATTCATCATTCAAACCTCATCAATAATGGAGGATATTTTTAAGTTTATTTGTATAACTTGGAATGTATTTGAAAAACCAACCTAAGAAGTCAGCAACATTAAAGGCCAGCAAAGATCCAATCAAGGCACCATATAATGAGCCACTAGTCTGGAAAAGGAACCATGCACAAATTTAATGACACAACGTTTGGGTGCCGAAGAAACATTTAGGAGGAGCAGGCAGAACAAAAAATAAAAAGATACACCCACGGAGATTTCAGTAGTTACAAGTAAGTTGTGTTGTTAACTTACTATGAGACCAATTTCCACAGACGACAAGTTGTACCATGATATTCCACTTGATGTGGGTGACTGCATTAAGTGAATGAAAGCAAGAAGGCAATTAGTTGGATTATCAAGTCTAACCAGACCAAAATTTCCACATAAGAGTCAGTCACTGTAATGAAACAAACATCCATCAAAATATGTTTTAACTGAATTATCTGTTAAGTTTTCACTCAATGAGTAACCATGTATACCTCTACGGAGATTGTAGCACAACTGGTGGCACCGATATCATAACCGTAAAGTAGTCCTCCAAGAGCTGGGAATAGAAACCTGAAATAATTAAGGAAATCTGTAAAGCATGAATAACATGATTTATGTACAAAGTTTTCAGTTAGATACAATACCAATTACAACATCAGTTAATCCTGCACTAGCAAACTATTGATACAAGTCAAGATAAAGCCAAGCAAAATAATTTGTGCGGAGGTGTATAAAATTGGCCAAGCGCTTCTTCTCTTGGTTGGCCAAATGATAAATTAAACAGAAAAAACAGGGCGAGGAACGAAAACTTTTCAGATATGAATTCATTTCAATCATATAGAACAGTTTTGTATTATTTATACTTATTCAACACCGTGCAGAGAAATTGTGTGATAGGAAACAAAGATCTATCGACTGCCAGTGCCACTGCCTCCCATGGATAGGTAGGGATTACCCCCCCACAAGACAAGAGGCATGACAATCTTTAGAAGCACACCTTGTGATAAATCAGAACAGATTAACTGAAAAATATTACTCACGGTAGTATCGCAGCAAGAACAGAATAGTTTTCTGAATTGTGAACCCCACTAAGAAGAGGCTCCTGTGCATCGCCAAGCTCACCTGAAGAACCCCCCTGAAAAATGGCAATGCACTTCAACAACTTCGAATGCAGACATCTAAAACAAACAATCACAGTAGAGGCGTTTACAGAGAAAACAGTGGAGCAGGAACAATAGGATAG